CTGCATCCCTCTCGAATCAGCACCATCACCAGCAGAAGCCGCGCCGCCTCCCCCGCCTGCTGCAAAGGCAGGTAAGAACCGGGCTCGGGAGCTCCCTTCTCCTCCCTGGAAACCTGCGCTGCGCCCCGCTGCTTCCGACCTCTCCGTCCTTTCTCGGTATGCCTCGCCTCCTCAAGTACCGGCTGCTCCCAGGCTGCCCCGGCACCTCCGCTCCTTCTCCCCCTCGCAGCGGCAGTGTCCAGAACCGTCCGGCTCCGCATCTCTGCTTCCCTCCCCCTCCCTTAGCCCTTTCGCCTCAGTGTCTCGCTGGCTTCCGCATCCCCGGGCTCCCGACGGCTCCCATTGCTCTCCGCCACCCGCGCCGTTTCCCTCTCACCCGCCTTGCTTTGCACCTAGAGCACCTGCGTCTTTCCCACGCACTCTGCCCTGGGCTTCCAGAAGACCCACCAGACACAGCATCCACAGTCTGTCTTTTCCCCCTCAGCCATCCCGATTCTCTGACATGCTCTGGGCATCTCCATTTCTCTGTCCAACCCAGCCAACCACCAAGGCTCCTGAGCCCGTTCCCGTGAGGTTGCCTCTTGCTTGTTCTCTTTTGCTTAACCTCCCCACCCAGCCACGTTGTCTGCTGCCTTTTCCTATCTCCTATCCTTTCCTGAGCACCCCCTCCCCACCCCACAGCATGCAACCAGCTCCCCGCACCTTTCCTCCTGGAGCCTTCTAAAACCCTAGCGCCTAACCCAGACTCACTTTCCTCCCCATCTCTCTGTCCACCCAGGCCCACTAGTTCCCAGAAGGATGCTGACCAGCTTGGACTCAGGGGCCCAACCCTGATAATTTCTATGAGGCCCAGCATGGGAGGGGGCTTCTGCCACTGGCAGCCCTTTGAATCCCCACCCTGAAATGCCATACATCCCACCCATTTGCCTCATGTCATTAGCTCAGCAAGAGTCCTCACAGGGACACAAGGCCAAGGGTCTTTCACAGGGACTTTTCTCCTTCAGCATCTCCTTAGTTCTATCCTAGTGAACCTCTCATCTTCATAGAACCCAATCCATGAGAAAAGAAGGCTTTCTGAATAGCTGTCCAGCTTCTTCTCACCAGCCTTGCCTGTGTTCTGCTCAGCTTTTGTCCCCTAAATGATTCACCCTTACCTACCTCTATAGAGAACCTTTGGATTGTGCCCCCCAACTGCATCCCACAAGAATATCCATCTTTTCTGATTTCTTCCTATCTGGGCCTCCAAAGCCTCCCAAACTGAAAGGTATACCCAAGTTCCAACCTCATACTTATCCACTGCCTCTACTTTATCTCTCACTTTAACCAACATCTCCTTACCTTCCTACCTCCATTTGGCTACAAGACCCACATTTATGCCTAAGCAGCCTTGGTGCCCATTGCCAAAGGGGTCTGCATTCTATTCCATCTTACACCCTCTTAGAAACACGTGTCATATAATCTATTTCAACTCTATGTGATATTGCACTCATAGCACATCCCAGTTTTTCATGATGGTCCTATTCCATCATTCCTGCCCATTTCAGCAACTTTGTTCCAGTAGTCCACAGTTACAGTCATTGCTGTTATTTTTTCCCCCAAGGCTACACCCATTTAAGACCTATAGACCTAGATGCCTCCTGCCTTCTATTCCGTGGCTACATATGTATGCCACACTAAGCAATTATGTGATTTGCTTGGTTGGGTTTAGTATGCTAGTTGTTCATTAGTACAATGAATCCAATCATTGTAATTTGTAAACCATGTTTATGGCTTGGTGAGTTGCATAAGCTCAGGCAATAGTAGCTTATATAACACACCATGGTTAAAACAACTATGATTTAGCATGATGTGTGAACCTAATCCAACTTTTGGTTCCATATCCATACTTCCATCTAATCTCTTCTCAAATAGCTTGTGCTTCAGCTCAGCACTACTCCATCTACCCACTAATTTATTCTTCTCTTCCCCCTTTGGCCCCTCCATATATATCAGATCAACATTTTGGTCATTCATTCATTCATTCATTCATTCATTCATTCATTTTGTCTATCTATGTTTTCATCTCTCAAACATCTGCACTGAATTCTCTTCAAGATGTAATTCCTCTTTCCCAGATGTCTGCCTGGAAATCCCTTCCTTGCATCCACAGACCCAGACAGTGTGTCTGTTGGGTCAGCTGCTTCTGCTAAGACTCCCTCTGTGATATATGAGGCCATTGTACTGTAATGTACAGAAAAAAGAACTTGTATGATGCATTTATTCTTTGATAGCACAAAATGTTATGGGTGTGTATTAAAACTCAGAGTATCTAGTAGCAGTCAATACATTACAATCTCTTGTCCAAAGCCTAAAATTCTTCATATGCAGGTTAAGAGCTGGGGTGTCTTCTCTTGTGATCTCCGGGTGTTACATTTTAAATCCTCATTGCATGCCTATTGGAAAGATTGATGAATTTACTGTCTGCTTTCCACTTTTACAGTCAAAGGTTTGACAGCCTTCCACAGTTATTTTTGATAAACCTATATTGCCCAGTTGAAGATACTGTGTGGTCAGACACTTGCAGACAGACTCACAAGCATGCTTCATGCACCACCTCTTTCCCACAGCTGGGCTCATACAAGATGTTGATAAGAAACATTTGCAGGAGAGTTTCTCAGCTCTTCTCATATAAATGTTCATGTGAAATTTGTTTGCAGGGAGGGCATTTTCCACTTTTGTGGACAGAATGCACACATACTAACACAGATTCATGCTTATGTACAACAATGATCAGTGGTATAGATTGACACAATCATATTGCATAAATGTTTGAATGTGCACATCTGAACAGAAGAATGATTCCTTTACATACTTGCAAACAATGAAAAGTACATACCCATTTACCAAAATATTAGAGATGATATGCTAGGGTAAACCTCTGTTACAACATAGTATCAGTATTAGGAGTTCCCAGGTTTTTTCTGTGCACATTTGTTCTGGAGTATACATATTTAAAATGTATGTCCACATTAGGTGTGACATGCATCTCATCGATATGTCACAGTGAATGTAGTTGAACGATATGTAGCTTCTGAACAAACGGGTAATGAACTCAAAACATAGTTTCTTCCATGTGTCTAGAAATCACAGCAATGGATAGATTCCCCCATAATAAATATATTATTACTTTTACTATATAAAAATAACATTCATGCTCCACTTCTTTACCGCAGGTGTAGTTAAAATATGGAATTCATTGCCATCAACTATGGAGATGGCTTTTAAAGAGGACTTGACAATTTCATGGAGGAGATTATCAGTGACTAGTAATCTTGATGACTGTATATTACTTCTTAAAACACAGGAGACATACCTTAAAGCACTGTTTCTCAACCTTGGCAGCTTTCAGAAGTGGGGACTTCAATTCTCAGAATTCTCCAGCCAGCAAAGTCCCC